CCCCAGAGGATGGTGTGGTCACTCCCTGGTGCAACCACTCAGATCACACAGCACATGGCAGTGCAGTGGCTGAGGATCCAGGGTCAGGCATGACCAGGGCTGGGGGGCCGGAGGGAGAGACCAGCGGGCAGGGAGCTCACCTCGCACTCGGCTGACCCGGGTCCAATCCCTCGCACCACATGTGGTCCCCCACGCCCCACCAGGAGTGATCCCTGAGTGCAGAGCCAGGCGCAAGCCCTGAGCCCCACCGGGTGTGGTCCGACCCCCACCCACCCACCCACCCACCCACCGCCACCACCACCAAAAAAAGTACCACCTGAGTTGTTTTTTAAAAAACAAAAACCAAAAACCTATTTAATAAAGTGCTGTTGGCACTGTGCTGCGCCTCATCAGGTCCTCCCGGGAACCCCCCCGAGACGCGACCCACAGACCCAACGGGCCTGAAACTGTGTGACCTGCCGGCCCCTCAGCCGTGGAGGCCCAAGCTTCTTCCTGACGCCCAAACTCAGCTGTCATGGGGCCTCGGTCTTGTCTCTAATGAAACGAGGCAGCAGCTACCCAGAGACTGCTTTTCTGGGGGGGGGGGGGGAGGCGGGGAGGATGGTGTCTGGAAACCCTTAGCCCAGCGCTGGGTACACACAAACACTAATAAAGCGCAGCCACAGCTTCCTGGGCAAGAGCGAAAACACGAGGACTCGGCACACAGGCCTGTGACGAAGGGGCCTCTGCGGGGAGGGCCGGGCCACACTTAGGGACCACTCCCGCTGCCAGGGATTTGAATCAGGGTGGGTCGTGTGTCAGGAAGTGACTTAACCCCTGTCCTATCCTCCTGGCCTGGCCCTGGGTGTTCCGAGAGTCAATGGGTCTGACACTCACTACCACCCACCCCGGGCCCTGCACACTCTGCCCCTCCAGGCTTACACGCATCCACAGTACCCTGCCCCCTCCCCTCAGTGGCCTCCCGCTGAGCACAGCCTCAGAGGGCACAGACACACAGACAGCGGGAAGGCCTCCGAGCCACGGGGGGCCCGGGGGCTAAGGCTGTTGCTGGCCAGCCAGAAACAGGGGGCACTGGGCGGATGAGACACGCATGAGGCCACAGGTGGCCGGCACTGGATGCCACTGCTCCCTAGAACAGCCTCTGCTGCAGCGGGCAAGAATGAGTGGCATCCCGGCCACAGGGACAGGCCTTGCAGAGCCAGCCAGTAGATGGCTGTCCACCTGTCCCAACCTCGGCACCCTTCAGAGGTGACAGCACCAGGCCCGTGCCCAACGGGGGAAACAACTGAGTCAGGAAGCGAAGCACGGAGGGAAGCTGGGCATCCGTGCGGAGGGGAGCAAGGGACACGCAAGATGGGAGGGACCAAGACAAGGACAAAAAATATAACGATCTGCCCCAGAATGGCCTGCCGGGGAGCTGCTGGCTGTCCACACCTGCCCTGCCTTTCCTCGCCTCCCTGGACTCTAGGACACACACCCTGGATCCAAGAAAAGTCGGTCTTTCTACACGCCTCCCGTTCCCCAGCACACGGTAACCGCTGGCAAGAAAGGTGTCTTCTGGAGCCCAAGGTCGAGATCAGTCGGATTGCAGGGTTTCAGCAAGGACTGGGCGGAGGAATGACATCTATTCCCACAGAAATCTACCCCAGGAATGAAACCTACCCCACAGGAATGAAATCTACTTCCACAGAAACCTATCCCTAGGGAAAATAATCTACCCCTACAGAAATCTACCCCCAAGAATGAAACCTACCCCATAGAAGTGAAATCGACTCCTCCCATAGAAATCTACCTCCAGGAACAAAATCTACCCAGACAGGAGCAAAACCTACTGCCGTAGCAATCACCCCTGGTAGGAAATGAAATCTACTGCCTAGGAATTCAATCGACTCCCGTAGAAATCTGTGCTCCGAGGAATGAAATCTACTCTCATTGGAAACTACCCCCAGCAAGGACGGGATCTACTGCCACCCGAAATCTATTCCCTTAGGAATCTTTGCCCACAGGAATGAAATCTACTGCCTTAGGAATGCAAGGAACTGATCGGCCAATTCCTTAGGGAACAAGGCCATTTTCCCAACAGCAACATTCCCTGCCTCCGTCATCAGTACGCACACGTACACACATTCACCTGCCACTGTCAACAACACGGATGCTACTGGGCCCAGCAAGTGCTCCAAGCGGAAGCTACCAGCTAGACCTGCACTCAGAATCTGCCTCCAGCCACACCAGCGGGGACTCCAGGGCCAACACACAAGGTCAGTGTCATCTCCTGTAGATTCCTGCTATCTTGTATAATAAATATGGAGGTTACAGGAGAAAAAGTCGACTGGCAGATTAAAAAAAAAAAAACACTACACCCTAAAAATGGTTTCAAGCCCACTTGTATCAGGTTAAAAGTTCTACTCTGCCCCTAACAGAGACTAGCTTCGAACATACATGATAGAATTGTACAACACTGAGAATAAATACACACTAAACACGGGACACCCACGGCTGCCACCATGCTCGGAACACGAGACAGGCAAGCACTAAATGAAGCGAAAGTAGGAGAGCCGGCCTCCAGGGGCAAAGCATGAAGGTTTCTTTCCCACATTGAGCACGGGCAGGGGAGGCACCCAGCCCGGCCCCTCTACTCTCGGCAGGAGTCTGGAGGGAACAGCCACGCCAACTCCGACCCACGCACAGGCAAAGGGGCGCGGCCGGATTTCCAGTACACCGTCACTTCTGTGCATGGGGCCAGGGGCTGACATGAGGACCGCAGGGTGGCTGTCTTGTCTGCCGGCACCAGGAAGACACAAAACAGTGGGAAACAAAAAAGCAGGCGCGAAGGGGAGAAGCGGAATTCACAACAAGGGCAGGGTATGGTTTCGGTCACATTTTATTTCTCACCAGGGTGAGCGGGGGGTGAAAAACTGGAGCTGAAGCATCATGCCAGTCACTGAGAGATGCGGGGATATAGCCCAGCCTCCCCGGGGGTTTGCTACCTGCAAAATGCTCCCAGCAGCGGAGCGAGACGCAAGGGGTGGGCGACCCACAGCTGCCATGGGAAATGTTCCCTCACTCAGCAGTCAGCGTGGGGGGAGAGGAGGGGGGCGCTGCTGGCAGTGCCCAGCACACACCCACTTCCGGGCACCCCGGGAACCCCCGATGCTCAAGGTAGCCCCCTTCAGAGCACCTCTAGGCTGGCAGACCACCAAGCAACTCCCGACAAACAAGGGTCCCTGCTGCCCGAGCGGGAGAACTAGGAGCCTCCTGCAGTCGAAAGGCGCCTTTGGACAGTCACTGAAACCCTCTCCAAAGGCCCCTGCCTCACGGGGCCCCACGGAGGTCACCAGGCCTCTGTGCAGCACCCAGGCACCCCTGCTCATCTCTCTCTGGTTCTCCTCTCTGCTTTTTGGTATGAGTGTAACAGCGAAATAGATACAAAATTCAACTGTTCCACTACTAAAGGGGAAAAGAAACTAATTCATGACTCACCACCTCACTGTTTAGTCTGTTGATGGAAAGACAAACATTTCGAAAAGACCTGGAAAGCGCCTTCTGGGTGCCCAGGCCCCTGGCCACCTCCAGGGACACAATCCTGTACAGCCAGAATCCCAGAGCATGGGAACATGAAGCTCTCAGAACCAGGGCCTGGAGGACCAAAAGCCAAAAGTCCAGGTGAGGACACTCAGCCCCGGAAACAGAAACACAGAACTGCGCTAAAAACAGAAGTGAAGGTGCAGAAGGAGGAAGCCATGGCCAGGACACGTGGCAGTCATGCCGTGCACGCGCGCTCACGCGTGTTTGTGTGTGTGTGTGTGTGTGTTTGGGGGGGTGGGGGGGATGCTGTGGAGCGGACGCAGCAGTGCTTGGGGACGACTGTTGCTGAGCTGGCGGGGAAGTGGGAAGGTGGAGGAACAAAGCCAGAAGGACTAGCACCAGGCTCAGGTGCAGGGGCAAAAGGCGCGACAGCCTCATTTGGCAGCAAGAACCGTGGCACGGAGTGACATACATCTGGGCACTGAGCTCTTCCCTCTCCTTTGCTCGTTGCCCTGACAAAAAACTTGCTCTTCCCAAAGTTAACCTCACTCCTACAATTAGGAAGCGGGGAGAAAATCACAGTTTACAAAAAAAAGGGAAGGGAAAATAAAAAGGTCCCTCAGGAAACTGAACGGGTCACCGCCTATAAAAGTGCACTGGATCCTCACGGCAGTCAACCTCGGCGCGATCTGGGTTGCCAGCGCTTCCGCAGGCCTCTGCGTGCCCTTCCGTGAAGAAGCCATGGTACAACTGAGATCGCGGGATTAAGTGATTTTTTTTTTTAAACACACAGAGATACACAGTTGCCTTGAGAGTAAGATATATACAACACAGCAGCTACAGGGTGTTGGTGCAGGCCGGGGGCAGGATGAGGCAGCCCTCTGCTCCCCGAAAGGGCTCGGCAGTGACACGTCTCCAGCCCGACACGCACAGCATTGCCCCTGAAAACATGCGGTGAGCCCGCCCCGCTGACGGGGCCCCACCGAGAGGACCCTGCAGGCCCAGGGCCCGGCTACAGAAGTCGTGCAGGGAAGACTCTGCTTCACACCACGAGGGCCGATTATCCGCGGCTTCTGAAAAAATAAAAAATGAACACTCGAACCTTCTCCCACTCCATCTGGGACCAAGAGCTCTGGCCCCACGGGGCTTCCGGCCCCCGAGCTTGCCTTTCTCGTAGCTCCCAGGCAGGGAAGAGAGAAGAATGGACGGGGGAGTGCTGTGGGAGCACAAGCGTCCCAGCTCTGAGCCTTCCTGTTGGGGGCCGCAACCAGGATGGGGGGTGGGAGGGAGCGGTCCCCTGCCAGGTCAGACACAGAGGAGCAGTACACTGTGGGGACCCTCGCCAGCTGGGCAACACTGTCCTGGAGGTGTTTTCAAAAAACCGAAACGGTCTATACCTCTATGACGTCTTTCCGACTCAGAGCTGCAGCTGACTCACAATCTAAATCGTCAGCACATAGAGTATATACAAACGGTTTCACCCACGAATCAGAAGTATTCTTAAAAAAAAAAAAAAGACAGACAAAGACAGTGAGTTGAAGCCTCATCCTGGTCAAAGTGGACAGCGGGGGCTGGCCACGGAGCCCGGCCCTCGCCCAGTCCTGCGCCTTCTCTGCGGGCCCCGCTGGCCCCTACTCGTCACCCTCTGTGATGGGCGTCAGCAGCCCCCTGTCGACCAGATGAGACTTGAGCGTGTTGAAGATGTGGAGCTGCTGGTCCGGCCGCAAGGTCAGGAACTGCTGGATCAGCTTGCTGGGGTTAGGGCCCCTGGAAGAGAAGGCCAGGTGGCAGCATCAGCCAGGGTCCCGCGGCCCCCAGGGCCTGGGTCCTCTCCCCAAAGGCGGGCTACAGGGCCCTGAAACAGCCGCCACAGAGAACTGCGGTCACATTTGGGAAGCTTTTCATTGAAAGTGAGATACAGGGGCCGCAGCGACAACACAGTGGGTAGGCGCTTGCCTTGCACATGGCCAACCCAAGTTCTGATCCCCAGCATCCCCACGTGGGCCCCTGAGTAGTGCCAGGAGCAATTCCTGCATGCAGAGCCAGGAATTGCTCCTAAGCGTCGACGGGTATGCCACCCCTGCCCCCCCAGAAAAGGAGAGAGACAGGAATTTCACTGCGCCCGGAGACTGGGCGGTTTGGGCCCGAATGAACAGTCTGGTACCTGATGAAGCTGGCGATGTAGACATTGACGAAGGTGGCCATGAGATACTGGCAGTCAAAGCGATCCATGATGCCTCCGTGGCCAGGGATGGTGTTGGCAAAGTCCTGCGGGTGGCAGGGAGGGGGCTGGTGAGCCCGGGCTGGACCACACAGACACACAGACACACCCAATCTCTCTCTCTCTCTCTCTCTCTCTCTCTCTCTCTCTCTCTCTCTCTCTCTCTCTCTCTCTCTCTCTCTCACACACACACACACACACACACCCCAAGGCCCAGGAGAGTCAATCTACTGAGTGACCGAGGGAACGGGAGAAGCAAACACCGACACAAACGCCGAGGTTCTCATCAGACATGCCCTACCAAATCACAAATGTTTCTTCTGAAGATGGATAGTATACCCCTGAACTAAAATTCCAACCAGAGTCACCTTAGAAACAATGCCTTCTTACGCGACCCCTGAGAGGGAACACAAAGCGGAGCTGAGAGCTTGATAGTGATCCCTCAGCGCAGGCAAAAGACAGCTGGCCAGCAGACTGGCTGGGAGACAACCAAAGGAACAGAAAAAAACAGAAAACTTTACTTTGATTTTAAAAGCGCGTTTGAATCCACTTGCGAAGAACCCGCCAAAGGGGCCGATGAGCGAGGCGAAGGTGGAGAGGGCGATGCTGTGGATCTGGAAGGGGTACATCCGCACTGTTTTCTGAGGAGAGAGGAGGGCAGAGATAAGCAGGGGCCAGGTGCAGCACAGTGGGGAGGGCGCTTGCCTTGCCTGGGTTCGATCCCCAGCACCCCACAGAGTCCCCTGAGCACCTCCAGGAATGATTCCTGAGTGCAGAGCCAGGAGTAACCTTTGAGCATTACCAGGAATACCACCCCCACCAAAAAAAAAAAAAAAAGATAAAAAGAAGTTCATGACTCTTTATGAAACTTTATTCTCTCCACGTCCCCCCTTAAAAAAAAACACTAGTGCCAGAGAAACAGCTCAAGACGTGAAGCACTTCTGCAAGCAGAGGGCCTGGGTTCAATCCCTGCTCCATGGGTCCCCCAAGAATCACCAGGAGAAATTACCTTTTAGGTAAGGACCACACCTCCAAAGTTAGGAGAAGCATTTTAAGGACTTCCCATCTCAGTATGCAGTAACAGAAGTATATTCTCAAATATCGAGATCTAATGAAAAATCATCTTACTATTTCATCATAGACACCGTGAAGAGGAACAGGCTTATCTTTACCGTAAGTGCGAGGATACAATGATTCCAAACGCCATCACTGCCTCCTTGCCAAACTGAGCCGCCAATGGGCTTAACAGGCTTTTCGCCCATTAGAGACAAATGTCAGCAAACTGAAAAAGGCAGGGCTGGAAAGAGAACTCGGGCGTGAAGTGAGGCACATGTCCTGCACACGGCCACGCCCAGTTTGATCTCTGGCACACAAATGGTCCCCGGAACACGGCCAGGAGTGATCCCTTAGCATGGGCCAGACGTAGCCCTGAGTCAATGGTAACAAGGAACAGTCGGAAACAGGCCCCTGGAGGGGGGCTGGGGGTAGGACAGCAAGGGGCAGCGACTAGGTGAAGGGACGCGTTCAACCAGGAGGAGGTGCTGAGAGGGGCAAGTTGTGGCATAAGAAACCGTGTCAGCAACAGCACTGTAACCACGGCAAAGAACTTTTTTTTTTTTTAAAAGAGCAACGCCTCTAGAAGACTGGTGGGTGGGAAGCAAATGGGGGTGAGGGGTGTTGGTGGAGGGGACACTGGTGAGGGGGTCGGTGTTGAAACAGTGCCTGACACCCAACCATGACACACTGGAACTTCACAGTGACTAAATTTAAAAAAGAAGAAGTAGGCCTGAGCATTACAGGGTGTGACTCAATTACCCCCCAAAATGAAACTAAGTCAGAAAGGCCAGCAGGGCTGGGGAGACAGATGGCTCAATGGGCTGGCACACGGCTTGGCAAGACAAAGGTACTGCCAGGAGCCAACACCACGACAGAGTAGAAGGAGGCCCCGGCCAAGTCCTCCCTCCATCCGTGCCCCACAAAGAAAAGGGCGGGACAGCTGGGGGCAATAGTAGCACAGTGGGTGGGGCATTTTCTGTGCATGCTGTCAACTCGGGTGCGATCCCCAATACCCCACCTGGTCCCCCAAGCAACACAAGGAGCAATCCCTGAGTGCAGAGCCAGGAGTAAGTCCTGAACACTAAGGGTGTGGCTCCCCCCCCCCAAAAAAAAAATCAATGAAAATAAGAAGGCAAATAATGTCACTGCATTATTATGCAGAGTGACCTCTTAGGCCCCTGAGAGGACCACAAGGGTCACCAGGAGTCTAGAGCACACCTGGAAATCTACATGATTTCCAGAGAGAGAAAAGGGTTTCTTCTGGCCTCGCCCTGAAATGGTGCGAACGCTCCACCCGGGGCACCCAGTGCCAAGGAGGAAAGAAGCGAGTGAATTTTTGTGCGGCTGATGTCTGAGAGGACAGGGAGAAAGGGGGGCCCTCTCGGGAGTCGCCTCACGCGAGCAGCACGTACCCAGCCAATGGCCGACTGGATGACTCCAGGAATGTTGTATTCGTGCAGGCGGAACAGGTCCGAGGGCTCACAGTCCACAGTGAAGCTGTTGGTGTCGTTGTTGTACTCCACGGGACACACGAAGCATCGGTAACCCGACATCACATAGGACAGCTGAGGGGGAGAGAGGTCAAGGGCAGCCGTTCCAGCCCGCCTTCTAAAAGGCAGAGCCGTGTGTGTGTGTGTGTGTGTGTGTGTGTGTGTGTGTGTGTCTGGCATGGCCCCCATGGGCCTAGCACCCAGCTAGCTAAGTAGCTTAGCGGGGCATGAGGAGGGACATGGGGTGTGTGTGTGTGTGTGTGTGTGTGTGTGTGTGTGTGTGTGTGTGTGTGTGTGTGTTACTTGAGCTAGGGGAACAAGAACAGGATTGATTCATGGCCGCCCTGGGTCTCATATACACCTGCCCGCTCAGATCCTGAATAAGCCCAGATGACCAGATGAGCAGGGGCCACAGCGATAATACAGTGGGCAGGGCACTTGCCGTGCATGCACATGACTGGGATTTGATTCCCTGGCATCCCATACGGTCCTCTTAGCCCCAGCAGGAGTGGCCCCTGATCCCAGAGCCTTCAGGCTTCCTGACACCCTAAAATTGCCACTGTGACTCTGGACAGACCCCAACAACCTGGGACCAAGTCTCCCAAGAAATTAAATGTCCAGAAGTTATCTGGGAATCACACCCACAAACCACCTCCGACTCAGCTGTACATTTTATCAGCCTTGCTTTAGAAACCCATAAATAAATCTCGAAAGAGATCAAAATCAGGCCACTTAAGTACATTAATGGCCACGATTCAGATACCCACAAATGAATTTCGGAGGAGAGCAGCACGCCGCAGAGATGCCTCCCAACCCCAATTATTTTAAAAATTTTAGAATTCCAGGAGTGCGTGGCTGCTTTCGCAGCCGCAAAACATCTCATACTATTCATAACAAGCAATAAAAAATAAATGATTTAGCATCTGCCTATGAGCAGGCTTGGGCGGTGGTGGGAAGGTGTAATGGTAGGTGGGATTGGTGTTGAAATGTTTAAGGTGAACAATTATTGTAAACAACTTTATAGAAACAAAATTTAGAAATTAAAAGTAATGTGGAGTTTATGCCTGCTTCAATCAGCTTAATTGGTGGCTGAAAAAACAGCAGTACTCCTACATTTAAAAAATTTTTTAAAAAAAGTAGGTGTGTGAGGTCATGGTGCAAAGGCTCCCCCATACATCTCCCCCCGGGGGGCAGCCACGACGTACCAGAAGACCAAACAGCACGGTAGCAAAGAAGCCCCCAATGAAGCCTTCCCAGGTCTTCTTCGGGGACAGCTGTAGACAAAGAAAACAGTCTTAACACCCATCTTGTTAGACATACAATACAGTGTCCACATAACACTACCTGGGAACAACGAAGGCTTGATTCTAATGATAGGGACGTGGCCCAGTGAAACAGCGCATGTCTCATGTGAGAGGCCCTAGGTTTGACCCAATATCACACACATACACACATGTGTGCACACATGCACACACAAACACACACACACACATGCACACAATTCTATTTTTTTAAGTCACTTTGCTAACGACCTCATCTTCTAACACCCTCTGCAATCTGATTTAGTTCCTGTCCCCTGCCACTCTCCAACCCCCCCCCCCAAATTTTCTTCTTTTTCCTATTGGCTATCCAAGCAATTTAAATACCAAACAATGTATGAAATAAATGACAAAACTCAAGTCCAGGAATGGAGAGATAGTACAGTGGGTAGGGCACTTGCCTTGCATGTGTCCGACCTGGAATCGATCTCCAGCACCCCATATGGTTCCCCAAGCCTGCCACAGCTGATCCCTGAGCACAAAGCCAGGAGTCAGCCCTGAGCACTGCTGGGTATGGCCCAAAAGCAAAAAGACTCCAGGCCATATTAAAGTCCCCAAAGTAATCCTGTACCATCTCTGTAAGTACTTTTTACATTAGATCCTACCGATAGCTGTCAATATTTTCCATGTTTCTTTACAAAGTAACAGCTGACGATAAATGTCTGCAGGCTGACACACCAGCTAGATGTCACCTGAGTTCCCCGCACTGACCTCCTGAGTCCTGCCCTCCCCTCCCAGTGAAAGTGAAGTGAAAGGATGACACCCTTTACCTTGATGAGGGGGGTCCGGCCAAAGAAGAAGCCAAACATATAGGCCATGATGTCATTACAGATCACACAAGAAATGGGGACAATGAACCTGGGAAAGAGATTCAACAAAGAATTAACTTTACCAAAGAGTTACCTCAACGAGTCACAAAACAATGTCAGTCACACACCCCAGCACCAAAACAACTCAAAAAGTACTTGTCAACTTTGTGAGTTTATAAGGTACATTAAAAAATGAGCTTTAGGGACCGGAGTGAGAGTACAGTGGGTAGAGCATTTGTATTGCACGCGGCCGACCCAGGTTCGAACCCCCAGCATTTCCCCTGTTCCCCATAGCTCTGCCAGGAGTAATTCCCAGGCACAGAGCCACAAGTAAGCCCCAAGTACCATCTCCCCATCCATATTTTATTTTTCAAATAAAATATCAAACAAGTCACTCCTAGGACATGGCACATAGCAGGCATTCAAATGTTTCCTGGGTACCAACTTTATCAACACAGGTGGCAATCTATAAAATGTCCTTTTGGGGGGCTGGAGAGAGAGCAAAGCAGGCAAGGTGCTTGCCTTGCACACAGCCAACCCAGGTTTGATCTGTGGTACCATAGTTGGTCCCCTGAGCCCTGCCAGGAGTGATCCCTTAGCACAGAGCCCTGAGAATCACCAGGGGTAGCCCCCAAAAAACAAAATAAATAAATGCCATTTGTTATTCTGAATTATACAGCTAAAGGTGCACACGAAAATATAGTTAAAACAGCAAGAGAAACAAGTTTTCCTATCGCTCTCCCCTGCTTCATTCCCGAGACACCCACCGCTAATTCATCTCTGCTTTTCCTTTTTCTAGCAGTCACCTCCACGGCTCTCCACAGTACTCCGATGTGTGCCTCATAAGCGCCTTTCGGCTCTCCCTTTTTGAATGATTTACGCAGACTGTGAGCTCAAAGAGGCCACCTGACCCAGGAACCGGTGGGCCCTGTGTCCTCACCCCGCGAGCTGATTTGCAGCAGAGTCTGGGTCCGACCAAGGGCCCTTCAACTGTCCCTGATGTACAGCGGAATGTGCTGTGTCCATCCTCCCACCCCCCCGCCCTCCGCCGTCACCGAGATGATCATTTTCTCAGTCAGTCTGCTTTCTACCAGGGCCGACAGGTTGCCTACTGAAGCCACTGAATTGCTGAAGTAAACCTTATTAAAGGACAGTCTATCACTCTTTTGACACACTGGCAGGGTCATTTGCTGAGAGTTATTTAGAACCAACCGCTTTATCTGTAATCATAAAAGAGGTCAGTTTATCTCTCTTTTTTTCATTCCCAAGGCTTATCTGCTTTACCATAAAGGATTAGATAAAATTTAATTAGCCTGGGTTGATATACAATTTTCAAAGTTCTTTTTGATTACTGAGCTATTCAAGTTCCCTTCCCCATCTGTGACTCTCACGGTTTACATTTCGGCCAGGGAATCGTGGTATTTTCCTCTGGTATTTCCAATTCGTTGCCACACCGCCTCACTGTCCTCTGAGTCTTTAAGGACTAAACCTTTCCATCTGGAACAGCGGTTCTCTAAGTGTGCCTCTTAACCAACAGCCTTAGCACAGCCTCAGAATGTACCAGAAACTCATATTCTACACCCAAGATCTTCTGCAGCACAAATCCAAGTACAGAATCCAGAAACCAGGGTCATGTCCAGACCTGCAAGGGATTCTAACACACTCAAAGTGAAGAGCCGGCTTCCGGTGGGAAAGCCAGGCCTTAGCTCCCAGGACACCCGAGAGTGACAAACAGCCACCGCGTCCAAGGGGGACAATCTCCAGACCGACATCACTCACCAAATCATTCCTTCGAACAGGTTGTGGATAACGAGATGTGACTGGGTTACAACGATCAGTAACGTGACGTGAGTCCAGCCAAACTGCAAGAGAAGGAAAAGAATCCTATCCCTGAGCCCCTGTGGATGGGGCTTCGGACAAGAGTCAACACCAAACAGGAAACAGCTGAGAAGGCGCAGGGCGGGCGAGCACTGCCTCTGGCCCACACCTTGCTGACAGTGGGTGGCACAGAGCTGGCAGCTGGCGACTACTGAGTCTTCCAGTGGCTGCACTCTTTGGAAGGAAGGAAGGGCAAGGGTCGTCCTGGGCCCTAAAGCCTGGGTCCTCTCAGCCTCTCGGGGAGCAGTTACTGAGTCCCAGAGTTCTCCTGGAGGGCACGCGTCCAGCCGACAGAGAGAGGGGGCAGGCAGGAAAGCCTGAAGCTTCATCTTTTTTTTTTTTAATAAATTCATTTTTTTTGTCACCGTGAAATCATAAGTTACTCATGATTGGGCTTCAGGCTTTCGGTGTTAGGAACAAGGATTCCTTCACCAGTGCTCACTTCCTTCCACCAATGCGTCTTCCCCTCGGTCCCCGACCCCCAATCCCTTTGCCTCCCACATACTAGACTGCTTTTACGAGAACCATTTTTATTTTACACACACACACACACACACACACTCTCTTCTGCACTGTGCTTTACAGTACTGTTGTTGAGAGGGTTTTATACGCAACACTTTACACCTTTCAGCACCACCTCCTCCTCCCACCATAAACGTTGAATTTCCCTCCACCATACACGCTACTTAGGGTACACATTACTTAAGAGGAACCGGGTTGAGATGGATGCGGGTCTGCCAGATGGGTCCTTGTCTTCTGTAGCTGAGTCTAAACGCGTAGCTCACAGAACAGACTGCAAACCTGAGTTTTCTCCGGGAAGGGCTGAGGGGAAAGGTCTGCTGGGTCTCTGCAAACTTGACCAAAGCCCTGAATTGTGACACACACGCATGTCCCTTACCATGTAGAACTGCAGTCGGTAATGCTTCTTGACGAGACTCAGCACAAACATGCAGAATCCTAGCGGGAGGAGAGTGGAGGAGAAAGGGCACACTGAATTGCGTCCTGAATTCATCTCTGTCCTAGTCACTTCCTCTAGCTGGGGTCAGCGGTCACCTGACTGGCTTCCTGGCAGCAGCTAACCCTGCACCATGACAAGGCCCAAGGGAAAGAAACTTGCTGCTCAAAATGTTCCAAAGATGGGGGGAAGTGGAGAACGACACTCGTTAGGACAATCGAAGGAAGGTCACACTTAACTATTCTGTACACCACAATCAACCTCCACGATTCACCAGGGAAAAACGTTCCAGTGCTAGAGCAGGGGTCAGCAGTCAGACCAGCTGCCGGCCCGCGGCCACACCTGTGTGCTTCCACACTGCCCGGGGCTGCTCTCACTGCAGAAACCGACTGCTGAGCTCCACAGACCAGGGGCCCCAGGCTGAGCAGGTAATGGGGGACCCCGTCCTGAGAGCGGGTCAGGTGAAGGAGAGTGTCTGACACGGGGTCCAGGCCACTCCTGTATCTCTCTCACACCGACCCCTAGAGTGACTCCCTCCCTGCAAAAACATCTGCAGACTCCTGAGCCCAGCGCCCCCCGCCCTCACCCCCCAGTTTACACCAAGTAGCGGAAGAACTTTTCCAAACAGATGAGCTAGGCCCGCTCAATGCAGCCATGCCCAGAGAAGGGCAGGCAGGCTGCTATTCCAGACCTCTGCCCCTCCCTCCCAGACCCCCTCAGTGGCTGCAGGCCCAGGTGCGATTCAAAGTCAAGTATCGGGTCGAGACTAGGACCAGCTGAAAATCAGGCCTGAGAAATGTCTCGTGGGCCTCACACCGACTTTGAAGGCAAGTCTGAGGAAATTCCAGCCCCACCAGAGCTGTGAGCCGTGTTTCTCCCTTTCTGGCCCTCTGTGGCCCCTTCCACCTTGCTTCCTTCCTGTGACCACCCCTTCCTCCACGCTCTCATTGCCCCCCACCCCCCGAGTCTTGCGCTGTGGTGCCCTTCGACTACCCGGGGCACTGCAGGGGTTGACAACCATCGGTTCACATAAACATGGTACTGCACTAACCAAGCCTTAGCGTGTCTGACGTGTCCGCTGAGACACAGAGAGATTTGGTCCCGGGCACTCTGGAGTGACTGCAGCTCTCGGGAAGCCAGCTCAGTGCCCTGCCCCCGATGTGGCCAATACCCCACCTGATGGGCTCCGGGGGGAGTGACAGGGGTGGGGGTCCCCACTCGGTTTCCCTGAGTGGTTTTTTCCTCTGTCACACCACAGGATCTCTACCAACAGGGGAATCAGAACGGGACCCAGGCATGCTCCTCTCCGATGGGCACCGCCCTGTCACCAGGACCCCCGCCGATGCCCGCTCCTCCCCGCGGGGAGCCGTACCTGTCAGGTAGAGGGTGAAGGAAATGAAGCGGTGGTATTTGCTGAGAATCCGCAGAGGCTCCTCCCTCTGGACCAGAGTGAAGAAGTAATCGGTCACGGTCTCCCCGTAGAAGAAGTAATTCACACACAGCAGGAAGTACCTGTGGGGGGGAGAACGGCGCTCACACGGGGCACACGGGCCCTGCCTCACCAGGCTGGAGAGAAACCGCAGGCAGAGGGGCCGTCCCCACAGTGGGGCGGCCAACGCTAACCCCCACACTACCTCTCTGGCCCACATTGCTGTTTTTTTGTTTGGGTTTGTTTTCTCTCTTGGGGCTTTTTTGGGCGTTTCCTGTTTATTTTCGGTTTGGGGGTCCCACCCAGCGTACTCAGGACTTGCTCCTGGCTCTGTCATCAGGGATCTGTCTGGCTCCCCTTTTTTTCATTTTTGCTCAAAGACGGCCAAGTCTTCTCCCATAAACCGATTTCTCTAGGAACCAGTGCCGTTAGTCTCACTGTTCCTCATCCTAGTCCCCAGGGCACCCCTCAAGGAACTAGAACTCCAAAAGCACAGTTTGAAATTCACTGACGCTAAGCTATCTATCCGAAGAATACGAAACGAACTTCTAAAGGCAGTCACGCCAGCAGTGACAATTCTCCGATAACTACTATCGGGAATGGGGACACTAGAACATAATAATGCTGATGCTGATGCTGATCGAGCCCTGAAGAGAGAACACAGTGGGTAGAGCATTCACCGTGAACACGGCTGACCCAGCTCTGATCCCCAGTACCAGAGAATCCCCCAACACTACCAGGAATGATCCCTGAACCCAGAGCCAAGAGTAAGACCTGAGCATCACCGGGGATGGCACAAAAACAAAACAAAACAAACAAACAAAAAATGCTGATCCAGGGCCAGGGAGATGACTCCACAGGTTGAGCACATGTCTTGCAGGTAGAGGCCTGGTCCAACCCCCAGCACCTGGTGGGGTCCCCGGAACGCTGCCAAGAGCAGTCCGAGAGCAGCAGAGAGAAACCAGAGCCTGAGTTCCACTGCGTGTGCCCTCCCCCAACCCACCTGAGGAAAGAGGAAATGGAGAATAAACATACCGGTGTAGGGCCAGCGCACAGGAGGCCCAGGTGCAGGGCACTGCCTGGCCGGGTGGACGGGAGGGCAAGAGACTCACCAGCTGAGGGTCCGGAACCAGGGCAGGTCATAGGAGTGGTAGACATTGTAGCCGATGGTGATGATCTCGTGGAAGCACTTGATCTGCACACACATCACCTGCAGCGGGCACAGGCGAGAACCGTCTCAGCCCCATCCCCAGGGTCATTGGAAACAGAAGCCCACAGGCCCGTGGCCTTCTCGGTCCCCGCCGACCTCACCCAGCAGCACGGCTGTTTGGGGACACAGGCAATCCAGCTCACTATCCACACAACCCCTGAGGCTTCAACTATTATTTTGAGTCCAGAATCCCCCAGGACTCATCCAATCCCTTCTCCTTTTAACACTGACTAGAAACCCTCTGACAGATCCCGCTGAGAGAAGGCCTGGACCCAGGAAAATACAACAAAGCCGTGAGTCACACTGTCACAGCTGGGGTCAGTGGGAGACGGCAATAAATCACATGAAGCTGGCCTCCGCAGCTGCCTGCTAAAAGGCGAGAGAAGTCACAGACACGCTAAGGCCACGGGGGTCACAGGATCCGGGAGCCCAGGTGATTCCCAGAGCCGAGACAAGGCCTGGTGCTTCAGGCGCCATGGGGGAATCGGAAGCCCAGCTGGCACGGGAGCAGGCGGCACTTACAATGATCATCAAAACCATTGGTCCCAGGTAAATGATGATGAAGAAAAACGCAATCATGGCCAGGGTCAGGATGCCTCTCACCCACCAGTTCTTCCATCTACGGCGGAGTGGAGGGAAAGGAGACATGTTAGGAGCCCGGAGACAGCCAGAGCACCCACGCCAGGCATCCCTGGGATGCAGTTCCGCTGGTCAGCTCACTGCTCTCCAAGGCCGCGTCCCTCCCCAGACCGAAGCCCTGACGGCAGCCACAACCAAACTCCACAGAGGGGCCCGAGTGAGGGAGAAAGGGCTGGGCGCGTGCTCTGCGTGCAGAAGGCCCAGCTCAATCCCGGCACTGCACAGTCCCAAGCACTGCCAGATGCATCCTCCCACCCCCACTCTCTCCCCCACATAACCAAAGGAACCAAGGGGCCAGGAGGCAAAGAACAAACAAACAAAATCCAAGGGAAATATGATTCTCGCTTCTGTATCTGCTTGGATGACTTTTTTGGGGTTTGTTTCTGGGACACACACAGTGGGGCTCCGGGGTTATTCCTGGCCCTACACTCAGGAATTATACCTGGTGGGCTCGAGGGGACCCTACGGGGTACCGGGGATGGAACCTGGATGTGTGGCGTGCAAGGCAGATGTCCTACTCACTGTACTATAGCACCGGCCCTTCTACTTGAAGGGCGGCTATGGCTGTGTCTAGCGGGACTGAAGTCATGAGATTTTCCCTGAAGAACCCTGGACTGCTTTGCTCTGAACCGCCACAGTGGTATCAACACAGAGCAATCATGACATGCGCTAGGCACTCTCAAAGGTCCCTGAGTCACCCAACCTTCTCACTAGCAGGGTGAGAAGGGGGCTGGCCAGGGCAGAGCTCTCTCCAGGACTACCTGGGATGTCAATGCAGAACCCGGGGCCCTGCCCACCGCACAAACCAGCCTTTCAAAGACCACACGCCAGAGGCACACACCTGTGCAGAGACTGTTTGGGGAATCTTAAGAGGTTCTGTTCTCTACAGAGCTGGTATCTCAAGGGACCCCCGCCCCTCCACCAAAAAAAAAGGCATATATAATGAAAATGAAATATTTTAAGTCTAGATTTACCCAAACTGAGACGTTTCTCAGTTCTTCAGGGGAATCAAAGCAGCACGGACGTGTGTGGGAGCAGGGAGAGCTGAGCTCTGAGGTTCCTCAGTGAGAAGCAGTACCCCATGCCGGGTGTCATAAAGCCAAGGATCACCATGGGACGTGCTGAGGCAGTTACTTAGCCCCCCCCCCACCCCCCCGAACTCTTTGTCAAGCCTCCCCCTCCTCAGGGTGCAGCTCCCAGCCTGGCCTGCTCTAGAGTCAAGGCCTCACGGTCAATGCTGGTTTGTTGTTCAGCAGAGATGCTCTCCTGGGTGCATTGGGCACGGGCTGGGAGGCACAGGGGGTACATGGGAGCAGCTGCTGTTCTGAAAGGGTCTTGGGGTCTGCTGAAGGGCGCCTACTCGCTCTGTCAGAAGGCATGGCAGAGCCAGGGGTCAAGTGACAGTACAGCGGGGAGGGCGCTAGCCTTGCACACGGTCAACCCGGGATCAATCCCTGGCACTGCACAGTCCCCAGACACTGTCAGATGACACCCCTTAGGTCCCCCAAGCACCACTAGGAGTCATTCCTAAATGCAGGGGCAGGAGGCACCCCTGAGCATCACCAGGTGTGACCCAAAATCAAAATAAAAAAAGAGAGAAAGAGGGGCTAGAGCAATAGCACAGCGGGTAGGGCATTTGCCTTGCACGTGGCTGAGCCGGGTTCGATTCCCAGCATCCCATATGGTCCCCTGAGCACCGCCAGGGGTAATTCCTGGGTGCAGAAGCAGGAGTAACCCCTGTGCACTGCTGGGTGTGACCCAAAAAAGAAAAAAAGAGACAGAGAGAAAGAAAAAGAAAGAGGAAGGAACGACAGCTGTGAAAGTGCTTAGCAAGCCCCAGTACTTTCCAGAAGCAGCGCTCAGAGAAAGCACAAGGACCCCAGGTCTCCGGCAGTGCTCGGACACCCGCGCTTACCTGGACGACAGGTTCGAGAGCGCCCGGTTGAGCACCTCGGGGGTATCGTCCACAGGGGCAGGGATGGGAGCGGCTTCCGCTCGGCTCTCACTGTCCGACGCTGTCTCCCCCTCAGTCTTGACTTCTGCATCCTGTGTGGAAGGAGACGAGGGGAAGGTGAGCAAGGTTTAGCAGATGCCTGGGAAACACACGCCTGTCCCGGGAGGGATGCGAGGAAAGATGCGAACAGGTGACAGGACAGATGGGCACACAGCATGGCGGCTGGGGCAGCAATGGGGTTGGGGGGTACAGTGCTCGGGGCTGTGACTGGCAGATTGGGGGGAGCGTCCCCAACCCTGCCCTGCAGCAAGTCGCCAGGTCATCACACACCCAGGACATCTGTCCGCCTCTGCAAGGCCGTCAGACCACCACACTGATACTGCCATAGCTCTCAGAGCCACCAGGCAGCCTGAAACTCTGGCCAGGGTCCTTAGGGCAAGCCGGGGGCACAGCCCACCCACCCCAAGTCCAGCGTTACTAGCAGGCACCACAAGAGCAGGCCATGAGGTCACTTGACTAGCCTGATCAAGGAAGGTGACAGACAATCAGTGAGTCATGGGGCTAGGTCTCTGTCCTCCCTGGCCCCAGGTCCGAGTCGGCACACTCGGTGATGTCACCCACAGAGCAGGGCACAGCCCCCCTCGTCCACCCGCAGGGTAAGACCGGAGCCATGCCTGGGACACAGCACTACTGGACTCTCCTAGTCCTCAGGGAGGGCTGAAGGGCTGTGCGGGAAGAGAAAAGCAACCACTCAGGAGGCGTCTCCCTGCCCAGGGAGAAGAGCATTTCCCAAGCCTAGGAAACGCGGAGCAGTTCTGGGAAGGAGAGAAAGCCCGGAAGAATCCCATTTAGGCAGGAAGCAGCAGGGACACTGAGAGCTTCAGCGGCTAGCTCCAAAGCAGGGCAGCCGGCGGCCAGGGCTTCTGACTCCAAGGCAGGATTCCTCTCACTGCACCATTCTGGGAGCCCTTTACTCCTCAGTAAGAAACTCAGAACAAACTAAACCTCCAAACGGCAAAGGCTGTTTCACCACATCTTCAAAATTTTCATTATACACGTGGGCAAGCACACCAAATTATTTTTCAAGTTGAAGTAACAATTTAAATGTGTCTGACAAGAGTTGGAGGGATGGTCCGCTCGGTGGGGTGCTTGCCTTGCATGAGGTCACATGGGTTCGACCCCAGCACCACATATAGTCCCCCAAACTCAGAAGTGATCCCTGAGGGGCTGGAGCGATAGCACAGTGAGTAGGGCATTCACTTTGCACGCAACCGACCCGGGTTGGATTCCCAGCATCCCATATGGTCCCCTGAGCACCACCAGAGGTAATTCCTGAGTGCAGAGTCAGGAGTAACCCTGTGCAACACCGGGTGTTACCCAAAAAGAAAAAAAAAGTGATCTCTGAGCTCAGAGCCAGGAATAAGTGATAGCACAGTGAATGTGGCCCATAAATAAAAACAAAACAAAACAAAACAAATTGCCCAACAGAGCCACAGAAAACAGTTCAACAGGCTGGACCATGGGCTTATATGCCGGAAGAAGGAGGAGCCATCCCCAGGCCCAGCTGGGAGCAGCCCCTAAGACAATCAGGTATGATCTCAAAACAAAATGTCCCTGACCACTAACAAGAGACAAAACCGAGCACCCTATCTCATAACCACTGGCCGTTCGCCACGCCTTCCCTTTTGCGATTTGCAGGAGTGTTTTCAGAGCTCCAGATTTAAGTGTGACTAATTTTAAGCGTGTGACTAATGTGTTCTCCCGTCTGCTCTAATCCACCCCCAGCCCAGTCATTGCCTCTCAGCACCAGGCAAAACTCATACTGAGGGGAGAGCTATGGCGCTGTCGTTTTCATCACAGACCATTTCTCCCCCTGGTGTCTCTTGAAAATGGGGCCCAGAGCCCTTATTCTCACGGCATCCCCGGGCATGGCATGGAGCGAACGCTCCCGGATGAAAGGCAGGCTGCAGGAGTGGGCGAGGAAGGATGCTAGAGACCTACCCCTACTCTCACCCAGACAGCTCTCTCAAGCGAACCCCAACTGTGTCGGGAGCACCAAGCACAGGCTGGAGCTAATGCAGGGCTAGACCCCAGAGAGGGGGCCCTGGCAGAATGGTAATCTAGTGCCACTGCTTGTCTTGGCCACAGCTGAGCCAAGGGGCCAGGCAGCCCAGTACTGAGTCACCTTACCAAAGGGGTCCTCCTTCCCCAGGAGCTTCCCTGCTCCCCTGTGAGAGGGACCGAAGCCCGGGAACTCGGAGCAGCCCTGCCTGCTCTGGACCGCCCCACCATCCACACCCCCCAGGCGAGCACCAGCTAACCATGCTGGCCGGGTATCTACAGCTCGGCCCTCACCCCAGGGTCTTCAACCCGTGAGCACCCAGGCCCCATCAGGGCATCTAGAAGCCAGAGGAACTGAGCTCAACACACACAGAGCTCAGCACGGGGTTATTTTTAACTTATCCATCCTGTTGTCAAGGAGATTCACAAAGGCTGCTGGTTCCCAGGAGGGAAGGGCAGGAAGGAGCCCAGGCAGAGGCCCTGGGCGGGAGCAGGGGGAGGAGGGGGGGTGCAATCTCTAGACCTCCTGGCGGGAGCTTCTGCGAAGGCAGGCCGGCACCGCTGTGCCTGCGCTACCCCATGCTGGTGAAGTGAAACGTCCTTAGCAGAAAGCAGTAGCATCCCACGGAGCCCGCCACAAAGACACGCGTGGCATTGCCCAAGGTCAGGGGAGCTAGGACTGAACAAGCACAAATGAAACCAGTCTGAGTCTCGGAGGAGACTGAATTCCGGGGCTTCACCTGTCTGCACAAGTGTGTTCCGGGGTCTGGGGACTCACCTGGGCCACTAAACAAGCATCCTCAGCAGCCGTACCCGGAGGCTCCCTCTGAGCTGACAGACCAGCAGTCACAGACAGCCCCTTCCACCAACAGAGCTCCACGCACGGAGGGGCAGGTTGATGGAGGCAGGAAGGGGCAGTGCCCGGGCTTCTGACCCCTGTCCCTGACAAGTGGGTGTCACAAGACTGAGCAAGGGAACAACAACAACAAAACCCTGGAGCCCCCACCGGGGCATCCGGCACTCAGGCCCGTGCCACCTCCCCTGGGCTGGCTCCTGAGGACACAAGTCTCCTCCGCATTGGGGCTGCATCCATATGGGCCCCGCAGGAGTCGGGCCTGGCTGGCGGTTTGCCCCTCCAAAGGACCGTGACTCCGGCACGTCGGCCACGAGCAAGAGGAGAAGCAGCCACTCGGGAAGGTGCGGGGCCCATGGACACACAGACCCCTGTCCTCCGGTGCGAAAAGGATTAACCTCAGTTTCTCGGTCCAGGGCATCATGGCCCCCTGTGAGCCCCCAGCACACTCTGAGGGGAGCAACAGAAGGGGAGGGGGCGCACAGGAGGCCACAGTCATCAGGGAATGACTCAGGAACCCTGGTTTAGAGATCAGAGGGGGTATCAACAAAGCCTGTGACACCAGGGACCTGCTGTGCACCCCCGCAGCTCAGCAGCCTGGCCACAGTGTAGGATAGAAAGAAGTGGGAGGCATCCCAAGCCAGGGGTGCAGCAGGGATAGAGGGGGGTTCACAAGGAGCTCAGCCTGCCCGGCCTCCTCCTGCCCATTGTCCAGGCATACCCGTGGTGGGACCGGACACCCCAGAGCCCAAAAGCAGGCTGGGGAAAGTGGGGGGGGGGGGGGAACAACGACAAGACGAGACGAGACGGGACGGGACGGGACGGGATGGGGGACGGGCCACAACTGATGCCTGGCTGTCGGCTGCCATGTTCTTTCCTGTGGCACTTCATAATGGTGTTATTAATATGAACACACACACATACACACACACACACACACACACACACCAAACTTGGTAATTTTTTGCCAACTGGGGCACGTGGCACAAACATCACACCTGCCAAGACATAGTCTGCCAGCAGCTCTGGGCTTCCTGTTTCTCACCACGGTGAGCAGGGCCTGAAGCATCACGGGCATACAAAAGATTTTTGTTTTGAACAAATGAACTGCAATTCAATTCTTGTTTGCGCCTCCATGGACCTGCTCTGAGGGTGTGACAGGATCCGCTCTGGTTTCCAGCTGGGGTGCCAGGCCCCAGGCCCCTGCCACTATGACGGGCCTTGCTTGAGCCTCACCCTACTCTGACCCCTCCCAGCCGCACAGCAGGTCAGACCCCATCAACTCTGGGCCCATGCGGGAGGGAGAGGTCGGGGGAGAGGCCGTCGGACCATTCCGGCCTCCTCAGCCCCAACCCCAAGCCTCTCTTCTCCTTTCTTCCTTTGCAACTTAAGGCGAGTGGCGCAGATCCTGTCTCTGATTCTCTCTCGCTTCTCACCGCCCATCCTCTGCCCATCCTCCCGGAATCCCTCAGCAAACTCCAGAGGGGTTTGGGGGGTGCTGGTGTAAACAGGAAACAAGAGCGGTGCTGTCCGTGGCAGGGAGGAAAGGAACTTTCCAGGCCTCCTCCCTTCCCACTCACTTGGTTATTAGGGAAAGGCAGAACCCTGCGGTGTCCTGGTACACAGGGACTCAGGTGAGACCTGTCAGTATCTGCGTAGATTTGTATGCTTGAAAAAAAAAAATCCGTCTCTCACAGCAGCCCAGAAGCCCTCCCTGAGCAAAGCCAGAGAAGGCGGCAAGGGAGTGGAGGGGGGGGGAGTCACAGAGCAAGAGGGAAGTTTCTTGAGGGTCAAAAGGTGCCTTTTCCATGTGAGGAGGCCCCTGGCTCATTCCATCCAGAGGGATCACGTCATCTCCACAATCCTTTTGCACCTGAGACAGATGTCCTGAGGAAAGCCATTAGGTTGGGCCTACTCTTCTGCTAAGTAACAAGCTGCCTTCTGCTTGGCAAGCTCCGTGCAAGCTCCTGAGGTGACGGACTGACGCGCTCTTAGAGACCCCAGGGGCGGGGCCATGTCCACACAGCGATGCTTCCCAGGATACTTGCTCGCCATTCCCTTCCCTCCCACCTCCACAGAGAGCACCAGGGCCGCTCTCCACACCCACCTGGGGCAGCTCAACAATGAAAGGCGCTGGCAACACTTTCCCCCCCACTCTCGTCCTGCACTCCTGGGACC